TGATTTAACTAAGAGTGATTTTATACCAAGTTAGCTACATCAGTGCAGCTTTGTAGACAGGCAGCCATATCCATTTTAATCTGGTTTATATCGGTTTAGCTTCCATCAGCAAATTTACAGGTGTAAGAAACACACAGCCAGTTTTTGACTGGTGTAAACCCATGGGTTTGCACTGGTTCAGCTACATCAGTGAAAGTCCTCTGTACAGACAAGCCCTAAGTCATGAGCTCACATCTGTTCTAGGTCAATATTCAGTTCCCCACATGACATGAACAGGTGTTTCTCCCAGTACAAGTGACCACACTTTCAGTCTATGGTGGGATTAGAAAGCGAACACTTCTCAGCATTAAAGGGGGTTCTTCCATAACCCCACGGAGGAATACCAGCAGAATAGAGTAGTGCAGGGGGAAGTAGTGAGGCTGCCTATGGTACATCTGTCCCAAAGCATTCCAGAGACCACCAACCTCACATCTTTCACAAACACTAAATTCGCTGCTAAAAGAGAAGATTTGCAAGAGAGAACAATTGAGATTTCTGGCTTGCCAGACAATGCATTTAAAGAGGTAGTGTCAATTTAACTTTAGCTCACACTTATGCAAAGACAACCAACAGAAGCATTCCCAACCTTAAAAAGACACATAAATGGAAACAGTTGCTTTTAACAAATAATTTCGTGCAGTGTTTGAAAGCCTAATGTCCCAGTATTAAGAACACTGAGTGTAAACAATGTCATGGATTTTTCATTGTCCACGCTGAGATAAATGCAGAAGTAAACAAGAAGCATTCACAGTTTCAATTGGATTTTTAAAATGTCTCTGTTTAATAACCAAAAGATATTATTAGTAACACAGCCAAAGAAATCTACTTAGAACATTATTTTTGAATTAGTGTTCTTTTAACTCATCTTGAAGATGAAATATGTTATACCCCTTCTTAAAAGGGCACCTAGGCCCCCAAAAAAGTCAGCAGCATAATTTGTCAAAGAATACACAGTACATTTCTACTCAACACGAGACCCCTCAATCACAACCTAGGAGAGAGAATTTCTAAGAGACAGTTTAGTATATTTCTCAACACACTACAAATAAGATGTTAAGAGAAAAAAACATGTAATTTCTGTGGTACATGAACACAACACTATCTGATCATTCACTATCTGAAAGTTCAATGTGTACTCCACACATCTCGTGGAACAGTCTGTAAGAACTGAAAAAGTACTTATAGCTGAGAATCAAAGGTAGCAAACTGACATTGAACAATAAATGGAAAGAAATACAATCCCAAATGCTTCTATAACATTAACACACTGCTTAAAACAGCCACATCAAAAATATAATCTCTGTAGCTGAAGAACTGCTGCAGAGGCGCATGCCATTAGTGACATGAAAGTATCTGAAACTTGGTATAAGTATTCCAGATGGAGAACCAAAACATTGTATAATACAGTCAAGGCTTTGTTATCCGGCATGTTGGAAGAATGGGGGGGTTCCGGTTAGTCAAAAATTCCGGTTAACGAAGAGTTATATTTACGAACGGAGGGACGGAGTTTGGGTGAGGGAGGGGGCTCAGGGCAGGGGGCTGGGGCAATGGAGGGGTTTCACGGTGCCAGATCCAGGCAGCGCTCACCTCCAGTAGCTCCCCACAAGTGGTAACACGTCCCTTGGTTCCTAGGCAGAGGTGTGGCCAGGTGGCTCTGTGTGCTGCCTCCGCGTGCAGGAGCCGCCCCCACAGCTCCCACTGGCTGCGGTTCCCGGCCAACGGGAGCTGTGGAGCCTGCGCTCGGGGCGGGAGCAGCGCATGGAGCCCCTGTGGCCGTTCCACTGCCTAAGAGAAGAAGGGACGTGTCGCAGCTTCCGGGGAGCCACGTGGAGCCAGGTAGGAAGCCTGCCAGCCCCGCGCCAACCAGACTTTTAATGGCAACCCTATTGAAGATTTGTATTAGGAGATATCAGAAATGCCAAATTCTAGAGCTTTCCAATTGGTAAAGTGCCAGATAACACAGCTTTTACTGTATAATGATTAAATTTGTTAAAATAAGATACCTGACCTTATAAGCAAGTCCACCTACTGGATTTACTAAATAAACTGTACCTGCATTTCTAAAAAACTTCAAAAGCACTGTTCCCTAAAATTAGCAAGTTTGACAAACCATACTTTTTCCTAGAAAATCCTTTTGTGACTTTTTTAAGACTCATTTTCCTACTCTGGAAAGTGAATCTAAAAAATGGCATTGTGAAGTTTAACATTTGGTCTCTCTCATCAACTCCAGTTCAAATTTGGTCAGTATACAAAAACAGATTTCTCCCCCCCAAACTGCCAACTCTGAAAACTGATCTGGAATCTGAAAGCCAAGCTGGGTTCCTTCTGGCTCCTGAATCATCAGCAATGAGGATTCTACAATCAGAAATCTGGTTAGCAATTCTGTCAGTGATGATGCACAAACCAGAAGTGAATCCTGTTCATCCTACCACTGCTGAATTGGCTCTCCAGGGCCAACAGGAGTAAAATCTTATTAGCAGCAAAAAGCAAGACTATATGGTTTTGAGTATGCACAGGATGCAGATTTACCACATAAGATGCTGCCCTTTTTGCCCTATAGTCCTTCTTAAAAGACTATAATCTTATTCTGAAAAACGACTTGTGCATTTCTAAAATTTTAGATCTCCATTGTCCATTCTTCCACCCCACTCTCCACACTTCAGGGTAAACTGATATTTATTCCAAACATTTCGAAGTTAAACAACTCTGTCAGAACTTAAGAGACAATCATGCTATGGTACCTGCTAACAAAGACAGAAAAACTCTCACTCCAATACATTCAGTGAGAGAAACAGGACACTCAGAAAGATGTGTTTGGATGAAATGGAATCAGTTATTAAGTTTTTGTGTATGTGAGTTTGTATCAAATACAATCTACATCCTTCAGACCTCATGCTTTTTCAGAAAAAAGTCACTTCTCTGAAATATCTCAGAGTCCGTCCCCAGAAGCCAAACTCCATGCCCGGACATTTCATCCATCATCACAAACAGGTTCCCTAATCACCCTCTCCCTACATGTGTAAATCGCACTGCTTAACATATGAGAAACTAGACTGGACACCAAACTAGTTAGTGTACAATAAAAATCCTGCACTAAATTCACCACTCTGCCAGTACAGGGCCTCACCTGTGAAGAAAACAAACAGTTTAAAATACATATACATACGAAGAAAAATGTATTGCTCTACGCATTAGAACTTACTTGATAGAAACACTGAAGAGCGCCACTAGATTCAGATGTGAGAAAAATAATTTAAGATGGCTGCCTCCATTGACTGAGATCAAAACAGAGGCATAGGCATATTTGAATTTCATCAGCTGTGTCTTTGTTATTATATATTCTTCTTCATGGAACGTACAATTTGAGGGGTCTAAAAAGTCATTGAACTCACTTTTTGTTAGTACCCTTAGCTAGGAATTTGACCCAATATTCCTTCAGGCTACAATCTCAATTAATTCTAAATAAATTCAATACTTGAGTGTGCACCAGTTTATGTAAACAAAATAAATCATGCTACAGAACTGTTTTAAACACCCGATTCATCCAAAGAGGAGGCATTTGCCTGCAACTCTGAAAATTAAACTAGTTTTTCAATGAATTAATCGCAGACTGTTACCAAAAGTAATCTCCAAACCTGTAAATAAAACCAAGCTGTAATACAAGCTTGAAAAACTCTGCTCCCACACTTGCCCTAGAGCAATTAATTTCTTTAGATGGGTGAGTAAAACATCATTTGTGTTTACATAATTATGGTCAGGCTAGGTAAGCAGATATTCTGCCTGGGCTGAAAAAATATTCATAATAATTTTGCAAGGCCCCTCTATAAAACACTGAAATTCAGCAAGACTGTATAAACCCAACTATGCCACCATAATTGGGAAGAAACAAGGCTTGTGGGATTCACATTTGCAGCTTATTAACAGACACCAGTTAACAGACTCTTACACTTTGTATTGATGGAACCACTGCACAGAGAAATCTGAAGAAATGAGAAGCTTTCACGAAAGCTTATGCTCAAATAAATTGGTTAGTCTCTAAGATGCCACAAGTACTCCTTTTCTTTTTGCGAATACAGACTAACAGGGCTGTTACTCTGAATTCTGACACTAGGAGAGATAAAGAGAAGCTAGAGGAGGGCAACAGAAAAGCTGCAAACAAACACTTCACTCACTTTTGACAAAAAGTATCAGGATTAAAATGCAGAAGAGACAAAAAATATTGCCAAACTCCCTAAGCAGCTGTCTTTGGAGGTCAAATATCCCAGAGGAACAAAAAGGCATTTTTTCCAAAAGCAGTGATTTGGAATGTTGTTGCAGATCTCATTCACTTCAAACTGCTGCACTCTTCAGCAACTCAAGCCTCTTTCCCCAAAAAAGCTTACAATAAAATATGAGTAGGTTTGGATAAAAAATAATTATCTGTACTGTAAATGTTGATAAATGCTGATTTTACTGTAGACAAAGAAACCAAAGATACCTCCAAAATTTACAGATGCGCCAAGTAAGAAAAATGCTGCTTGAGAACTTCTTAGAGTTTGACTTAAGAATGGTTTCAGAGGAACAGCCGTGTTAGTCTGTATTCGCAAAAAGAAAAGGAGTACTTGTGGCACCTTAGAGACTAACCAATTTATTTGAGCATGAGCTTTCGTGAGCTCACGAAAGCTCATGCTCAAATAAACTGGTTAGTCTCTAAGGTGCCACAAGTACTCCTTTTCTTTTTGACTTAAGAATGTTTACTTTGTAGATTCTGGTGTGATGTTGACAGTTCGTGTTTTAATGGCTATAAAACTGTAACTTTTTGAATCTCAATGTCTACAGTTATTAAATTATTGTCTGACCAGCCTCCACCATTTCCCACAACTGCAAACATTTAAATCGACCAAAACAAATACTTTAAAATAAAATTTATATTATTTGTCAAAATTATTTAAAAAATTAAAATTAAATTCTGCCAAGCCTACATTTCAGGCAGGTATGTAAGTTGAGAGAAGATCCTTCCACAGCTTGAGCTTGGGTTACCTTGTTCCCAAGGAGAAAAGTCCCTCTGTTGTGCATTGTGCCTAATGCTTGTACTGCCAAACCAACAAAGAGATATTCCTCCTCTCTCTCCCCCCTGCAAACATATCCCCATGTTTTGTATAGCTCTCCTGATCCCCAGTATGTCACCCAGCCCCTGTGCAACAACAACCCAGAACAGCTGTGGAGAGCCATCCCCCTGCTACTGATTAATGTATAAAATTCAAGAGGGGTGTAAGGTGCTGAACAGATGATGAAGGTCCCTGAATCAAAGGCTGACAACAAGAACCCCATGTGTACAGACCCCGGCCTCTGGTACCCCTTCTTCCCACCACTGTCCTCTATATCTCCTCTTTCACCCCACTGTGATCACTTCTCTCTCCAGCTGCCCCCACTATTGTTACTGCAGCCCCATAAGAACCAAACATTATTGCACCCCTCGCATGCACCCCACTAGCTGCCCCGCCCCAAAAAACCATTGGACCTATCCCTTTCCAGCCGCCCCTCCCCCCCCCCAACAACAACCAAATATTCTTCCACCCCCTTGCAACGTACCCCCACTAACTGCCCCTGCCCCAAGGCCCATAACACCTATCCCCTTCCAGTTGCCTCCTCCCTCGTAAGCCAAATATAATTGCATTCCTCCCCATTACATGCATCTCCACTAGCTGCCCCTCCCCCACGGAGCCCCCCCAGCTGCCCCCACCAGAACATTATTGCACCCCGTCCCGCTGCCCCTCCCCCAAAGACCCACATACTGCCCCCATACCCCCGCCCCCACAGAGCCCTGTGCTGGCGCCGCACCCCTCCCCCAGCCCGGAATCGCGGCCCCGCCTCCCCTTCTCCAACCCCAGATCAACAAAAACATCCACAGAGCGGCCGGGTCAGGCCCACCCCCCGCGCCGAGCCGGGCCGGGCCGGGCCGAGCCGGGCTTCCCCGCGGCCCCAGCCCCGGGACAGGCCGCGGCCCCGCACTCACCGCTCCGCCGCCTCCTGCCTCAGCTCCGGCCGCTGAGTAACAAGCCGGGGCCGGGCCGCGCGCAGAGACGCAGCGCCCCGCCCCCTGCGCCGCCGGCCCGCGAGGGAGGAGGGAGCGGGAGCTTCTCCCCCCCGGGCCCTGAGGCAGTCTAGCCCACAGGCTCCGTGTGCTGCCCCCCGGGACAGCCCCCCAGCTCCGCGTGCCCCCCCCGGGACAGCTTCCCCGCTCTGTCTGCCCCCCGCACCCCCCCGCTCCGTGCCCCGGACAGCCCCCTACCCCGTTCCCCCCATAGCACCCCCGGATAGACCCCCGCTCTGTCTGCCTCCCCACCCCAGCTCTGTGCGCCCGGGACAGCCCCCTACCCCGTGTGCCCCCATAGCATGCCCCCCGGGATAGACCCCCCCGCTCTGTCTGCCTCCCGCACCCCCCAGCTCTGTGCCGCCCCGGGACAGCCCCCCTACCCCGTGTGCCCCCCCATAGCATGCCCCCCCGGGATAGACCCCCCCCGCTCTGTCTGCCTCCCGCACCCCCCAGCTCTGTGCCGCCCCGGGACAGACCCCCCCCCGCTCCGTGTCCCCCCAGGCTGTGTGCCCCCTCATGTCCCCCCGGGACAGCTCCCCCAGTCCATGTGCCTCCCCGCATGCCCACCCCAGGACAGCCTCCCCAGGCCGTGTGCCCCCTCTCATGCCCCCCCGGAACAGCTTCCCCGCTCTGTCTGCCCCCTGCACCCCACCGCTCCGTGTGCCTCCCCACATGCTTCCCTGGACAGCCCCCCCACCCCGTGTGCCCCCTGCATGCCCCCCGGGACAGCTTCCCTGCTCTGTCTGCCTCCCGCACCCCTCACTCTGTGTCCCCCCAGGACAAACCCCCCCCTGCTCTGTGTGCCTCCCACATGCCCTCCAGGGACAGCCCCCCAGTCCGTGTGCCCCCCGCATGCCCCCCGGAACAGCCTCCCCACTCCGTGTGCCCCCCCAGGACAGACCCCCCCCAGCTCCGTGTGCCCCCGACAGATTCCCCTGCTTCGTGTGCCCCCCGCACAGCCTTCCCACTCTGTGTGCCCCCGCATGCCCCCCCAGGACAGCCCTCCCCATACCACATGGCCCCCAGAGACAGACACTCCCCCCAGCTCTGTGTGTCCCCCCTGCATGGGACAGATGCACCTGCTCCATGTGGCCCCCCATGCTCCCCAGGATAGCCCCCACTCCATGTGCCCTTTTACATGGCCCCCCCAGAGAGATCCCCCCACTCCATGTGCCCCCTGTAGGCCCCTCAGGACAGCTCCCCTGCTCCATGTGCCCCCCGCATGGCCCCCTGAGACTCCATGTGTCCCCCCTACCCGGGACAGCCCCCCACTCCATGTGCCCCCCTGCATGGCCCCCCAGACAGATCCCCCCACTCCGTGTGCCTCCCCCTGCATTCCCCCTGGCCCAGGACAGCCTTCCCGCTCTGCGTGCCCCTCCACACACACCCCAGGATAGCCCCCCCACTCTGTGTGCCCCCTTTCATAGACCCCCAGGACATCCCTCCTGCCTCCGTGTGCCCTCCCGCACAGGCCCCCAGAACAGCCTCCCCCACCCCCAGCTCCAGGTGCTCAACCGCACACAGCCCCCCCGGCTCTGTATGCCCCCCATGCCTGGGACAGATCCCATCGGCTCCTCCTCCCCGCCCTGGCAGGCCCCCCAAGACATACCCCTTCGACTTCATGTGCCCCCCCGGGACAGACCCTTGCTCTGTGTGCTCCCGCAGCCCTGCCCCACCAGGTTAGTTCCCCTGTGCTCCATGTGCCCCTCCCACTGGACAGCCACGGCACCAGAGCCCCACTCCATGCCCCCTGGACCAGACCCCCTAGTTCCATATGCCCCAAACAGGAATCAGCCCCACCCCCAGCTCCGTGTGCCTCTCAACACGGATCAGTCCCCCATGCTAAGTGTTCCTCCCCCAACAGGGACCAGCTCCAAGGGTGACCACCTTTGTTGGATGGAAATAAGGGAAAACCACATCAAAGGTAAGGGACAAAGCTTTGTTTTAAGGGATGTTTTAGGGAAATACCATTTCCCGTAGCACAGCAGGTATTTTTCGGGCATGTGTACATTTCCTCTGCCCTCAAACATACAGTGCAGTCATCATAAGCTTATTTAAAATGGTACTTACCTGTTTTAAAACATTTCAGCACATCTTTGTGGGGTTTTTTATGTCAATTCATAAAACTCTTTACATGTCCAATCAAAATTAACGTTAACTTGAAGTTCAGCTTTAACAGCTTCAATATTTAGCAAGTTTCTGCAGTCTCTCCATATCTGTGTATCAAGGAAAATATTCTTTCCACTGCTGCATTTGAGGTTGGAATGAACATAATAAATTCCACAAATTTTAAGAATTTGGGAGAAGAATAAGCAGGCTACCATAGTTCAAAGCCCTGTCCTTTCCCCTGCATACGGTACTCACTGAATCTTTTTTGCAATAAAACATAGCAGTGCTGCCCGTGGTTAGTATTTGCTGTTTACTTAGCCATTCATGAACCTTTCCCTTTCCAGAAGTTTTCTAAATCAGTCCTAGCATTTCCTTACCTGTGTTACAAGTGCAAAACCAAAGGGCCGGGGTGGAAAAACTTCTGAATATTTAATGTTTTAACAGCCAAAGTGTCAAATGTGAAGCAACATCCATGATCTTTATTTTAGGTGTACAATTCAGCATAGTCTTAGGTGAAGCTTTTTTTATTTTTATTTTTTAGCTTTGTGGTTAGTTTTTATTAAAAGACCATGTTTCTTCAGGCTGAATTCTATGCTGAAAACAAGCTTCGATCAACATTTATGTGGCTTAGTGCTCATCTGCACAGATCAGATTCGGCCTTCCCTTACTTGTGACAAATCAATGAAATAAGGGAGTCAAGGAATGTCCCTTAAGGTAAAGGACAGGTGATCATAAGAACGGCCATACTGGGTCAGACCACAGGTCCATCTAGCCGAATATCCTGTCTTCTGGCAGCGGCCAATTCCAGGTGCCCCAGAGGGAAAGAACAGAACAGGTAGTCCTACCAGACCCCCCCAACCTCAGTGTGTTGATTGGTTAGTAAGACTGACAGAGAACCAATTTAAAGGAATGTCCCCCTACCTGCATCTATCATCGGGGTTTGTTGTCAGACACTTAAAAAAAATAAACCAACTAGGATGTGTGGGTGTAAACAACCAAGGTATTTATTAAACCATCAACAGTTCTAAACAAGGTAAACCAGAGGTGAACCAAATGAATAGGAACACAGGTAAAGCAAGGACCCTCACAACAGGTGATATAAAGGTAAGTACAGGACCAGTAGTATGTTGACTGTGACTGGGGGTAAGTTCCCTCCCCTAGGACGGGACCCAGGTAAGAGGACTCTCGAGACGACAGGACAGCTCCGGACTCCATTCAGGTAGGTGGTTTCCTGCCTTTCAGTAAAAAGGGCAGGAAACTATACCTCAGGAGGGCGAAGAAGGGCAGCCAAGCTGGATTCCTAGTTATTGTTTGGGCATTTCAGGATGGTGCACCAATGATGTTAAGCACCGAAGTTTTCCCCCTACATTCCCCTCCTTGCCAGTGAGGGACCCTATATTGGGAGTTCCAATGCCGGCACACAATTACATGGGGGCACATTTGGCACACCTTGACTTGTGCCTCAGTTTACCAAACTTATGTTGCGACCACCTGCATTGCGCTAGATACGGTACAAACATTACAAATTGTAACACAAACAAAACAAACAATGCATGTGCAAGCAAATGCCAGGCATCCACCACTTTGGTGGGGTCGGAGAACAAAGATCTCCACCATCTGCTGGTTGAGGCTGATTTTTTAACCCTTTTTAGGAATGCTTCAATTTGATTGGACGAGTGGTGGACGGTGATTAAAGTAGAGCTACCCCGTTCCATCACTTCAAATGCCTAGTCAGCTCAGGATGCTCCATTAGTTGACTGAGTGAAGTATTAAGGCCCAAACTGAAAGGTTCAACATGGTCATACTTGTAAAATGAAGTCTTGATGTTTCTGTATGTCATTTGCTCTGACTGAAAATCAATATCACATCCCTTAATCATCAACACAAAGCATAAGCACAAATTTGAATACACATTATTGTTGATGGCATTAAATGTGTTTACCACCAGAGACTTACAGGTACTGTGGAGACATACACAGTTGTCATTGATCACCACCACCTGAGAATGTTCTGGTGTCTTGGGCTGTAGCTCGTAATGACACCTGCCTTCATCTGTGCTTAGACAAGTGTGCTTCCCTAGGAATACCTCTGATGGACATAGGTACCCCTGATTATCTTCCC